CCTGTGCCGGCTGCCCAGCACTGTTTGAAGCTGGTCTGCCATAGCAAGCTTGTTGCTGGCTGATGCAGTCAGAGACCCACAGGGGTGGTCCTGGCCCCCTGCAGGAGACAGAGAGGGCCTTGGTGGGTTGCAGTGCTGGCTGCCAGGACAGTGGGACAAGCTGATAGAAACAAGTCTTCTGAACACTGCCAGGAGGTATGGGGGTACACGCTCAAGCGGCCTCATCCTGCTGCTGAACGCTGGCCCACAGTGATGCTTTTGCTGATAAAAACTGATCAGCATCCTAGACAGCCATAAAATTATAGCCCTGAGGTTTTCTTTTTCAATACACTCCACAAATCAACATAATTTTAGAGCCCAGATACTATAATCAAATAGTACACAGCAAAAATAAGCACAGGTACATTCTAGACAACCATTTCTTAGATGTGGCTGTTAAACAACATTAACAGGATAGCTTTTCACTTATTTCCAAATTTGGAATACTTTTTCCTAATACTGTATTCTGCTTATCTTGTATATTTGTGGTACGGATCCAATGAGAATGTACTCAAGTGCTTTGTGAAGTAAAGGCTGCCGCGTCTTTCAGTCAGTCTGATTATTTTACAGTCTCTCGAATCATATATTGGAGTCAATGCTGACATGGGAATGAGGGAGGAGCTAATTGTTGAAAACCTACTTTTAAACTTGTTTTTATCTCATTTAATTCTTACAAAAGACTGAAAATCCACAGAATTTGCTTCTTTTATCTGTAAGATCAGGATAATAATAGCAATTCACTGGGTTATTATGAGAATTACCAAGTAATACAGACTTACTGCTATAAAGCAGTGTCTGTTATGCAGTCAACACACAAGAAGTATTGGTCCCCAAAGTGCCTCCCCTATTGCTTGAACACATCTGTTGATTTATTTTTCTTTAATAACAATATAGTGTCTGGGCTCTAATCCAACAGTTCCATTTGAACTATTTGAGGATGTTCTATTTGTACTTCTTTCATAAATCTACCTATTTGTATAAATGTAGAGCACATACAATTATGTACAGGACATAATACCTGGTAGTAATAAAGTTATGTTACTGGGTTATGCATTTACTATACTGTACTTTTTGTCATTATTTTGGAGTATACTCCACTTAAAATTTACTGTAAAACAGTGTGTCATGTTACCTCCGCAGTGTCCTTGTGTGTCGTGTTTTTACTACATCTGTTGATTGCATCCAGACCAAGACTAATTGATCTTGATCTCTCAGGCTGTGTAAGTCTATTCCATGATCACACAGTGACAAAATGACCTAACAATGCATTTTGCATTGTTATTATATTATATTCCCATCCTTAAGCAACATATCCAAGGTCTTTCTTCAATGCTACTATTATGGAAAATGTTGTGGGCCCAATCTTGCCTTTTATATGCGGTTCTCACTTATAAGGATTATTTATTCACTTTTCTAATTAAAAGGCTTACTAACTGCTATAACTCCATATGCTGTGTATGCTAGCAAAATAAATCGTCTCTAATGTTAATTTTTTAAAAGGTGAAAGATTTATATGATCTGAAGAGAAACCAGAGTATTAAGGTTAATTTTTAAAAATCAGATTACTAATCAGAGATGTTTGAGTTTTTCAAACCTATTGGAAACAGAGGCAGCCATTATTAGCCCACAAAGATAATGCCTGTCTTTTCTAGGTTCTTATTTTATACCACATTTACTTGCAATTTGTCACAATTCATGGCTGGATTTGGCTGTTTTATATTTTGGGGTTATTCTCCTACCTGGATACTAGCATTCATTTCTAGTGTGTAATGGAAGTGTAACTCTGAGCCAGTGCCCTCTAATCTGAGTTGTGGTTTCTTTGTTCATAAAAAGAATCTAGGGCCGGGGGTACACTTCCGTGGCACAAATGCCTGCCTGGCGAGTGTGAGGTTCTGAGTTCAATTCCCAGTACCAAAAAAAAAAAAGTAAATAAAAAAGGAAGAATATAACAGATGTGTGAAGTGTCGTTATTATACCCTAGGGTGCCTGTCCTAGTGCAAGTGCTGTAACAATGTTTGTCAGCTTTTATTGGTATATTTTCTTTGTGCTAATCTTTTCTCACTAACACTTACAGTTCTGAATCAAAGGTAGCTTCATATTATAGCCATCATAGCCACACAAGCTATGAGGGCTAACTGTTACCTCCTTCCGATTTCCTTGTCCTTCTAATCCAACCACCTGGCTCATCCATCTTTATTTTTTTATTCCTTTCTTGTCAACATTTGCTATATACACCATGCCCATCTTTCTTTCTGGCTATATGACATTTTCCCAGTCTCAGTGGCCATTCTCTTGGACTTCTAACCAAATCATCTCCTCATCTTTCAGAGTTCAGTTAAAGTTCTTTTTTTTTTTTTTTTTTTTTTTTTTTTTTTT